AAAACTATTGTAGAAGAAAACTGGGAAAGAACATAAATATTCAGGTTTATGTCATCTACCTTGAGTACGCAGCATGAATTGATTAAACATGAGTGCAAGGTATTCCCACCATCCCTCATCATTATCGCATTGCTAGTGAATTTAAGAATACAGTTAAACTTGATACTAGAGAGTAAAAAATATACTCATATCTACTTTACAAGAACACATGCAGATGAGTATATTTTTATACATTAAGGCACATACCCAACTCCTTTTGACCGCCTTGAATTCCGATCCATGATCAGTCGAACATCCCTCACCTGAAAAACACATAAACTAATAATGTAGATCAAACAGGACATGATAAACCTTCCAACAGAAGGTATAATATCCAAAGAGATTCTAGACTACCAAACTAGATAATGAAAACCTACTAAGTACACACACATCACCTAATGCTTGTGTACAACTTAACTCACCCCACATTAGTCATAATACTACTTGTAACTTAAGAAAGAGATGCAAATACTAACTGCAGCATGTAGGAATGCAATCACCACAACATGTAATTATATTGCTCTAGGCAGAATCTCATGGAACAAATTTGAAGTTATTCTTATACATGCACATAGAAATCAACAAAAAAATGTTAAGATATGTCTACAAAGTATGATTAGAAAAAATTCCACTAACCTTGCCCGCTTTTGAGAAGAACTCATAAACATCTCTTTCAGTCGCCTTCAGAGGCATCTGTTATCACCATATACATAACAAGATAATCAGCAACAAAAGAAGAAAATAAGGGGATAAAATTAACCAAAAGAATAATGGTGCTTGATAATCCTTTAATGAGGTCATAGCCCTCCACCTGATAAGCGAAAACAGTTCTTTGATCCCTCTCTGGATCAGCTTCAGGCTCCACCACTTCTTTCTTTTCTTTATATCTCCTGCAAGACAAATGGTTTTCAAATTAAAAATGACAACAAATCAACTAATGTAATTAAAACTTTCCTTGATGTTAAAACAGCAAATCAACATGAAAAAATAAATATACTCCTAATATCAGTCACGGTGCCATCCAAGTGCAATACATTCCCTTACAAGGCAAGTAACATTGATCACAATTTTTTACCCCTTCTTATCATATCAGCAGATTGAGTATCACACTCTGAAATAGAATATATCATTGAGTATCACACTCTGAAATAGAATATATCATTTGAAACCATCACGTCAAAAACCTCACCCTTTTTAAAAATCCTCATCACATAAGCACTTAAGCAAACAAATGTCAAAACCATTCTAATACAAAGGTAAAGGTTTCCTTCCACAAAGTTTTAATCTTTTTTCATCCAAACGTTTCAGTTCCTAAGCATAACATTAGAACATGGTGCTAACAATCTTAGAAGCTAACGTTATTAGGAAAAAACTTCAGTTTAATTCTTTAAGAGCATCACAAGACTGCACACCAAATAACCACCACACACAAGACACTTCAAAATGCTGCCCATACAGCCACAATTCATGGAAGCAGTTAGTCCTCTCTATACTAGCCCCACTTTTCACAGTAAGTCTTTAAGTAAAAGGTCAATATTGACCTCCATAAACCAACACAGACATCAATATTCCAACAGTCTTGACTAAAAAGGTGTAAACCCTCAACCCATTCAAGTTTTATCGATAATCTGAGTATTGCATAGTCTAAACTCCAGAAATGACACTATGCTCAGTCCAACTACACTATAACACAGATATGTAAAACATTACTTGAAACATCAAATTGCACTATGAAATTCCTTCATACAGTATTATAATTACCTGCTCTCTCGCATTTCAAGATCACGCTCCCTCTCCCTAATCTCCCTCTCTCTCTCCCTCTCCTTCTCGCGTTCGCGTTCACGTTCGCGTTCACTGTCTCTCCTCGACCGACTACTACTTCTCCTCGACCTACTACTACTCCTCCTCTCTCTATCTCTCTCCCTCTCCCTCTCCTTCTCCTTCTCACTCTCCTTATCCATCTCAATCTCCTTCTCCTTATCCTTCTCCTTCTCCTTCTCCTTCTCTCTCTCCCTCCTCTCTCTTCTCTCCCTCTCCTTCTCTCTGTCCCTGTCCTTCTCTCTCCTCTCCTTCTCCTTGTCTCGACTCCTCTCCCGATCTCTATCACTGTCCCTCTCCTTCTCCCGATCTCTCCTGCTCCGATCCTTATCCCGCTCTCTATCTCTATCCCTCTCTTTCTCTCTCTCCCTCTCTCTCCTCCCGCCGTTCTCCTCATCCTCGTGTCGCGATCTCTTACTACTCTTCACCCGCTCCTCCTCCTCCTCTTCACTATCCTCTCTCTTCCGATAACTCCGCTCACTCTTCTCTGCTCCTTCTCGCTTGGCCTTCTTCTTCGCCGACGACGAGTCGTCCTCCTTCGGCGGCTGTTGCTCCTCCACTGTTTTCTCCAAATACTCGTACTCGTCGAACTCCATTTCGGCGAATTAACAAATCAACGATCGCCAATTCCGAAATTCTCCGAAGTTCAAACCCTAGAGCTGGTCTAGCTTCGAGTTTGTTTTAATTTTAGGGTTTTGGTTGGGGTTTGAAAGCGAAGTGAAGCGAAACAAAGCCTAGGCTCGTTTTTTCTGTTTTGCTCAGGTTTCGCTAAAAAAAATTTACTTTTATCCGAACTGGAGGGGCCTTGGATGTCAGCTTTTCAAAGGTTGTGGACTTTAAATTAATTTGAGATGTGGTGGGGCCAGAGGACACTTATATAAGATATAGCATGAAATACTTCCACTAAATAAACTCTTTTCACTCACTTCCTCTCACAAACGAACTCTTTTCACTCGATTTCTCTCACAAACGAATGTAATATAGTAGCTCACAATTGCTTTAACTCACATTTGGTCAAACGAAACTCATTGTTAGACTAATAAAACTCATTACAAACTAATTAATTACGAACTGATACGTAACGTTTGTAAAAGAATAAAAATAAGTTGAGAAACTCTTTTCACTAACTTTCTCCCACAAACGTAACATAGCAGCTCGCAATTAGTTAGCTCATATTTGGTCAAACAGGACTTATTTTTTTGGCTAGCAAGACCCATTACAAACTAATCAATTACGAATTGACACGTAACGCTTGTGAGAGAATGTTAGTGAGAAGTGTTTATTAGCGTAGTATTACACTACAAGATATATTTAAGAGCCTAATTGTCCGAGCTTATGAAGATTAGCTTATAAACAGCTAGTACTTATAAGGTAATTTGAGCTTATAAACATTTGAAAACAATTACGTATTTAGTTAAAGTACTTATAAGTGATTGATAAGTAGTTAAGTGTTTGGTAAAATGTGACTTATAAGTATATTTTATTATTAAAATGACTAAAAATGATACTACATTATTTTATCAAATAATAAATAATGTTATAAGATAGAATTTTAAAATTAAATAGGGATAATATGATAATATACTTTGTCAAAGCAACTTATAAGCAAAATGCTAAAAAAAAAAAAAAAGGTCGGCCAAAAAAAAAAAAGGTAAGTTTTCCAACTTTTTTTTTTTTTTTTTTTTTTGTTGGCTTATAAGCTTAACATATAAATTCAAAAAGGTTATAAACAAACATGTCAACTTGATTTTAGAGCTTATAAACTCAGACAAACACCCTCTATATTAATTACCAGTGAATGACCCGATGATAAAAGAGCAAAATAGGTTCATTCAAGTCTCTCCAACCACTATCATTGGAGCTCTTACTTAACCTATAATTCTAAAGCCTCAAAAAAGTAGTTAAGATGTATACAAACCAAGATAAATTCCTAATTTATTACATATATTATTATTTTAAATTTTATAAAAAATTAATTACTAATCATTTTTTTATAATTCAAAAGACACCGCATTTACTTTACATATCCGAGTTCGAAACCGGGGAATTCCCACCAAACCCTGCGATGTTTAGGAATGATTGACGATGGTAGAGGACTCGATTACTCGAGTCCCATATACCTTCTGAAAACAAACCACATATCGGACCATCCAATAAATCATGACAAATAGTTTTAATTTTTTATAAAAATTTTATAGACTTTTTTGTCTTGTTTTCAAGCATTTTTTTTTTTTTTTTCACAAGTCTAAAATAAAAAAATAAAAAAATTCCCATGTTTTTTCTTCCTTATAGCAACAAAATCAATAAAAAAAAAATTATATCTAAAAATTTTGCTAGCACACCTCAAAATTTTTATTGTCATTTACTACATAATCAACTGTTAGTCTACAATAGAGTTGTATACGAGCCGAGCTGAACACTATGGTGTTCGAAGCTTGGCTAGTGAAAATTTAACGAGCTCGAGCTCGACCTTAGGTTCGACGACCTCTAAAAACCAGGCTTGAAGCTCGAGTTCGTTAAATATTTTGAGCTCAAGTTCAGCTCGCCTCGTTTAAGAGTCCCAACCCAAAGCAATCCACCAACAATCCTTCAAAACAACCTCAACCCAAAGCCAACCCACTAATTGTCACCAACCATCATCAAATCCAAAGCCAAACAGCCGCAAATATATGACTCAAAATTCCACCGACCGTGAGAGAGAGAAGAAAAGAGAAGAGGAGAGAAAAGAAAAGAGAAGAAAAGCAAAGAAAGATAAGGAAAGAGATGGAAGAAAGGTGAAGAAGGAAAAAGGAGGAGAAGAAAGAGGGACGAGGAAAAAGATGAAGAAAAGAGAAGGAGAAAGTGTCGGCTGAGAAACAAGATATGGTTTAGGAAGTGGAATAATTTATATAGGATATAGTAAATTACATATAACCCCCTGCTACTTAAAAAAATAACACTTATACCCTTTCGAGCCATTCACAAGCCTATCGAGCCGAGTAGTGGGTGGTTCATAGCTCAGCTCGACAAAAGTCAAGTCGAACCCAGCTCGCTTACAGCCCTACTCTACAACATAGTTTACAAACAACTCACTCAATTTGTTTGCATATTTCTATTGCCAACTTACCAATTCATAAATCTAGAAAATCTCTAAAAGAAAATCGAAGAGTACAATTTGCTTTTAACTAACATTCACATCAATATTTATGAAACTGAAAACCCAGTAAGTTTTACAGATTTTACATAAGCCATAGCTACACTAACCGAATATTGTCTCTCTCTAAAATACATACAAAATAATTCATGTGAAATTTTTTTAAGCTCTTCTTACAGTATACAGTTGCACGAACAGCGCAACCTGACATGGTGAACAACAAAACGAATGTATTACAGTGATAACAAAACCAAATCGAGCAGGAAGTGTGATTTCATACTCTACTATAAGAAAATGACCTAATCTGATGCTTTCTCTGACTATAAACGGTTTCCATACTTGCACAGATGTAGAGTATAAGAGTAATTACAGAGTTGATTGATGAGCGTCTTTGTCTTCTGAGATGCCATCACATTATTCTGTTTAATGGGATTCTTTCACCCTGTCGAGCGATTCTTTCTATAGGGGATATGACTTGCGGCATTGTCATACCTCCAGAAACAATGATCTCTGCATTATAGAGAAAATGTAAGAATAAAATAGATGCCCTGAAAACGGCATAGCATGATATGACATCCAGAATTCTGTTTCAAGAAACAGGACATCATCGGTGATTAACAATGAGTAACTTTTTACTTTAGGCATATATACTCATCTCTTCGATTTAGTCTGGGAACTGACTCATTAAAAGGATCCTTCAAATGAGCATCTAAAGACTAGCTTGACTGCTGATATAATTTTCATATGCAAGTATGGCTTATTGATTTTCAATACAGCATTAGTAGGAAATAAAATCAGTAAAAGATTGCAAAAAGGATTTTACATAATTTTCAACTAGTAATGTTGTTACGGAGTAATATGGCTATATTTCCGACTAATTTTTAGCTTCTAAAACTTACACAAAAGAAATGTATTGTTTAGATAATAAAACTGGATGTCATATACACAAAAAATCTCCCGTGGACCTCCAGTTCACATTTTGTATCTCCTTTTTCTATTAATACAATGTATGTTGCTTCCTTTATAATAAAACTTACATATATTAATTTATGGGCTGGCAATAATAACTTGAATTCTTTTTACTTCAAATTTAGACACAAATTGACAACCATACATCTAATCCACTCTGATGGTTGAGAGAAGGAAGTTAAAAAAGTAGTTTTTCTAATACTGATTCAGCAACTCTTTCAACCAGTGGATTGCATTAGATATATAGTTATTTTATGGTGATAAAATTTTGAAATAAAAAAAAAAATTATGATATGCCAACCATGTATATATATACATATATATATATACACACATTAAGAAAAAAGGGTGCCATTGAAACAGAGCAGTCTTAGTTGATTACATAATACAATAACTAGGGCAAAAGGAAACCATACCAATTCCCTCTCTAATAGAAAGATTCGGTCTTATGATCTCTTTAGAGTTAACCAGGAGAATATCACCGATGTACAGATGGTTTGTTGGGACGAAAACACTGCATAATTCCTCATCTTCATTGTCTTTCTGCAGTAATCGGCAGACAAATACAGTTGACAGCAAAAGTTAATGAAACAGATATCATAAACATTGAATGTAGTAAGACAGTCCAATCACAAAACTAACCACCTCAAGCAAAGAAATTGCCTGTGCGGGAACTTAACGTAAAGAATAAACAATTATAATCATCACATTTTAGAAAAAGTTGTGAAATTCACATAATTTTCTTAAAGAGGCAAAAAATGAACATAGTCTTTGTCCTAAGCTTGGCTCCTAAATACCCTCCAATGTCAGCATAGGCCCGATCAACAAAAGTGGTTTTGGTATAGGAAAAATCTTCTCTCCCCCTTGTATTATAAATATCTCATTGTTAGGAATAATCAACTAGATTGACACTTTCTATCACTTTCAACATTTTTATTCTCAATCCAAAGCTAGGGAAACTACCATAGGATCCTATATTCTTCATCAGGACGAACAAAGTCCTATGCAAAAAAAATTTAAAAGACAAAACTTTGCTAAAACAATAAGCACTCATGTAAATTCTACGTAAAGAGTTTAACAAAATTTTGTCTTTCAACAATTCTTTATTAGAGAGTTGTTGATCCAGATTTTGCAAATATGCAGATTCTGCATGAGGGAAACATTAATAGGTATCATATCCGATCTCCCAAAATGTACATAGTTTCCGCAACTGCACTTCTCACCATAGGAAAATACAAATGCTAGAAGTTTAAATTACTACATGTAAAATGAAGGCTGATGGATAGAAAATTTGGGCAAGATACCTCCCAACTCTTGTGCAAGAGAGGTAGCATTTACTGTTCCCGAACGTCATGCATTATTTAATTAATATAAATTTTTAAGGGTAAACATACAAAGTTGGGATCCTACTTTTGTATCCCAACCCATGTGACAGTTGATTTGACTAGTTAATTCACTTAACCCATCATCCTATAATTCCGTAAATGCTGTCAAATCAACCACCACATGAGTTAGGATACAAAGTTGGGATCCTGACTTTGTATGTTTAGCATTACTGAATTTTAAAAAATAGTTCACTTTCTTCCTTACCTACCACCTTACTTTCTATCATCAGAAAACGGTCAATCATTTTCTCTAGGCATGATCTTTGCAAATACCAATTTCTTTATGATTCCCACTGTTGTTGAATTTTTGTAATGAAACTATGGTGCTGAAATGGTCTGCACTCTAACGTGAGAGACATTTTGACAAAATTTTGAAGAAAACTCAACTTCTCGAATCTTTAATGAAAACTCAAAATTTTATTTACTAAAGTGAGCATTATTTAAGAAATTGTACTATTAAAAATGAATGCATGATATCAGGTAGTTGAAATAGACTCAAATGCTCTATGTGTCTGTCTTCATATTTACTAAAGAACATATGATGTTGAACCAGATACAACCCTAGAGGGTGTCCAGAATTCTGGTCGTAAAGAGATACTTCAGAACATAGAAATTGTTGCTCTAGTATCTACTAGTCAAGATGTAGTGAAAGCAGGAGAACTACCATAGTCTTGATAAACGACAAAACTGCTCCCCTTCTTCGGAAGTCAAATTCTTTAATTTGCTTCTGAAAAAGGGTTGTCTTCACAATGCCCCAAGGACACACTATAAGATCACTAAAAAACAATTTTTTTTATTATCTCAATACACTTTTTGAAAAAACACACACACACACACACATTTATAATGTATCGATATGATCAATTTTTTGTCATTTAGTGGTCTTAACATGTGCCCTCGGGGCAATGTTAAGACAACTATTGCAAAAAGAATTATGCACATGAATGAGAAGTTCGATCTCCATCATGACCTAGAGATTTCACTAAAGGAGAATATATTTGCCACGATTATTATATGTAAAATAAAGGTGAAATATATTCTAATGTAAAAGTAAACATGACTTAAAAGTGCAATGATGCAAGAAATTTTGCATGGTATGGAAATACATAATAGCATAAAATGGTGTAATATGTATTTCTTTATGTTTGAGTACCACTCTCTAAATAAGGAGGTTTGAACTAGTATTAAGCCATAGACTCCTTCAAGATATCTACTAAAAAAGCTAGATCATCCCAAAATGACGAGGAGAAAAAACTAAACAAAGTCAACCAAAAAAAAATGTACAAGTCAACATACAAAAACACTTTTTATTACTAACAAAAACATTACAACCACTTTAAGAACCATGAGATTAATTCTTGAACAGGAACTCAGGCTCTCACACTATTATGGCCTTAACACTTGCACAAGCCTCCCATAAAAAAAAAACAAATAAAAAAAAAAAAAGGGACTTTGATACAGACAAACACCTACCATACCGTAAACACTATTACATATTCTTTTATTACATAAGATATCTTGCATGATTACACTATTTAGGTTACATTTACTTTTACAGATAATATATTCCACCTTTATTTCACATCTATAAAAATGACAAATACATTCTTCACCAAAACTCCATGTCATGATCGGAATTTAATATCTTATTGTTGACATGCATAATCCCTTCCACATTAACTAAGCTGGTGGCCCCTGAGCAATTGCTACCAGGAAACTAGATGTGAGACCCATAGTGTGTGTATTTATATATTTGGTTAAACTAATAACTTAAAATGTTGACATAAATTTTTAACCATTATCCCTTGCAATCCAGTTATTTCGTGCAAGGAGTCAAACATGGTTATCTTTAAGCATATAAGTTCTAGATTATTGGATTGCAATAGATGCGACAGCAATGAATTGATGTCACAATTTAAGTCAACAATTTAAATTGACATAGCCTAACCCTTGTGAGAGTGTGCGTGCAAGTTTTATTTAGCAACGGAGATTTGCGACTGTGTAAGGAAAAAAAGAAAGAAAAAAACACACTATCAATCAGCCTATTATAAAGAAATGTATCCACTTATTTGGTACTTTGACCACTGGTCCTTTGAAATCAGATCAAACACATTATATCAAGATAGACAACAAAATTGCTACTGCCAGCCACATCAGCAAGCAAAACAAGTGGAAAGATGGATTTTCTTTCTACAAAAAACAGTCACTAGTGATTAACCAAAATTTCATGTACAAAACCATAATACCANTAGATTATTGGATTGCAATAGATGCGACAGCAATGAATTGATGTCACAATTTAAGTCAACAATTTAAATTGACATAGCCTAACCCTTGTGAGAGTGTGCGTGCAAGTTTTATTTAGCAACGGAGATTTGCGACTGTGTAAGGAAAAAAAGAAAGAAAAAAACACACTATCAATCAGCCTATTATAAAGAAATGTATCCACTTATTTGGTACTTTGACCACTGGTCCTTTGAAATCAGATGAAACACATTATATCAAGATATACAACAAAATTGCTACTGCCAGCCACATCAGCAAGCAAAACAAGTGGAAAGATGGATTTTCTTTCTACAAAAAACAGTCACTAGTGATTAACCAAAATTTCATGTACAAAACCATAATACCAAAAATAAGATATTTTTTCCTCTCTTCACTACTATGCCATTGATATTAGATACCAAGTTGAATAGTTCAACATGAATTTCAAAACAAAAAAAGCCCAGCCCATACGTCTAAATCATACTGCCTCAGTAAACTAGAACAAAACAATAGAGACTAAAGCTTCCAACTTCCATTTTAAAACTACTAAACACAAAAACAAAATCACAATTTTAAAAACTGAAAAGCTAGGACTATAACAAGGAGATGAATATAAAGTTTGAGCAGCATCACAAGGAGATGTCAAAAAAATATTGACACCAACAGTCAGTTCAGTTGATCAGTCTAATCGACTGAATTTTAGATCCCATTTGCCCATTTAATTGGCTATGGATAGAGAAGCATGCAAAATTACCAAAACAGAGTAAATTTTGAAAATTAATCTTTTCTCAGCTTTAATGTTTATACTACTATTGTTACTACAAGAATCAATGGCTACTAAAAAGTTATGTATGGTGCACTGTGTCTGAAAATTAACCAAGCCAAGCTTAAACATGGTTGGTTGAGCTCAAGCCAAAATTGAGTCGAATTTCAACATGCTTCATGCTTTACCGAGCCAACTCTGAAGATGGTCCCAACTCACTTGGCTTGGCTTATTTGCAGCACAATTGACACTTTTCTAGTTCATCTTTCCAAAATATTGCCTACCTCAAAATACATGCACAATTACATATGTTGTTTGTTGTAAATCAATTAGACAGTTATATATTTCTAATCCTGGTTGCTTATGCACCTGCAAAGCAGACTCAGGATCAAAGACAACACTAAACAAAGTCTTTGCAACACAAACTATAAATAAACAACACTACATATTGTAGAAAAGGAAGAAGTGCATAACGGTTTTAAAAATATACTTTCAAACAGGAGAAGATTGAATGACATTAACCAGAAGTACCTGAAGGGTAACTGTTGATGTTATAAAACCAAATGCATATTCACCAACACGTGGATGACGGATAATTGCTACCTCTTTGAAAGCTGTAGTATTTTGATCTATACAGAAGATAAAGGTATCATAATCATATCAGTTTATATCCAGCCCCATAAGTTAAAATATGAATGACAAAAATATCTGACGTGTGATTATAAAATATGCAGAATATACTACACTGCCAAATCCATCATCTGATCATTAATTAAAAGTTACCAGCTTAAGAAATCGGAAAATACACATTATTAGACTGAAATTTTCAAGTCTATGAGGACTTAAAAGAAATTTAGCAACATCAAGGTTCAACCCACAGCAACATGCAGAATCTATGATGATAAGTTCCAGAGACAATAAGATGTGCTTTTATCAAAAATATAAATAGACTACCGGCTTGATTATAGACAGTCATCTACAAATAAACAGAATATATGAGTCTGCATGCTCCTATAGTAATCCATAAACAACTTATTGATAGAGTTGCCAGTTGTCACATCCAATCCTAAAAAGTGCACGAGTACCCCAGTGAATCCTACCCAAGAAGATGGGTATGGAAGTATTAGTGCATTTGCGAATTCCTTTCTACAACCAGATTGACAAGCAAAAATAAAAACAATTGATGAGGAGTAACCTGGAGATATCGCAGAACTAATTTGTTTGGAAGCTGAGTATATATGCTTCATAAAGGGCATGCGCTTAATAAACCATTCCCCAACCCAGAAAACTGTGGAGCCCAACCAAGACGAAACAAATACACCAACAAGGAATACAAATACCAGGGAAGTAACAAATCCAAGTCCTGCAATACAGACCAAGTACCTTGAGAGTGTGTCCACAAATATGAACAATTTGGGCTTAATGAGAAAATCATCACTTATTAGTACCCGATAAGAAAGACCACAAACTAGAAAACATAAAAGCAACAGATCTACACCTATTCCAAAATGTTATCATTTCATTTTTATTATATAAGCATAAACCAAATATCTTTGCACATCAATGGCTTTGTTGGACACCTATAAAAAAGAGGAAGAAATTCAGAGACAACCTTCAATTACAGTTTGTTTTACAGCAGTAAAGCATAGAATTTGGACAATAATGATGTTTAACTTAAGTAAGGCATTTCCATCTTGTTTTAAATCTTTAGACTCCCAAAAAATAATTTGAAGTTTCAATATCACCCGGCTTGTGGAAATTGATTAAAGAGTTGGTGGAACATACTATATTGACAGTATATTATCTATATATAATTCAGCCCTTAGCTTTAGCATAGCTCCACCTCCCAAATTTCCAGAATAAAGAAAAAGAACAACCCTGGAATTTTTTAGTAACAAAAACACACAAAAAAAAGCCAGCATACAAACTATGTCCCACAAAAAACAGATCTCTTCTTCTATGGGATCTTATAAAGATTCTTTTGTTCCTTTCCATCCAAATCACCATATAATATCTAAAAGGATATTAGACGTTTCAAATCACGCCCAAATACCAACATTACATTTATGAGGCCTGGAATATTCAGGATGAATGGATTTAGAAAAAAGTCTTCCTTTTTTCTGGATCAGAACAAAATGGTACTCAAAAGTTCACCACAAATAAGCTTTATTCTTCCATAAATTCTCTACAAATATGCATTTAGGCATTCCTTTATGATCTGTGCTTCTTTTACAGCCATCTATGTTAACAGTGCAAACAAATAATATATATCTGAAAAGATGAATATAAAAAGTATTGATATAGCCTTAGCCACACTTCAGAACTGCAGACAAGGAAAAGGTCACAAATAATGCAATTATAACTTACCAAATATATCAATGCCCAGCCGCTCATACATTGGACTGAAGAAACCATCAACAAACTGAATAAACCACCACGTCACAAAAAATGTAACTGCCACAGGGAAAAGAACTACACTGCAATATCAGAAGAAAATGAAATATCAGACTTGAAAGATCAAAATATACAAGTAAACATTTAGAACATATTAGGAAGTAGCTAAGCTCAGCACCATCCAGTCATGAACTTCTTTGAGATCCAACTCTGGAGAACAAAACAGCAAGCCTGAACAGATAAAAGAAATAGAACCATCATATGTAGAAGCTAGTAGTATCTCACATTGACCATAAAAGAAAATTTCAATATAAGATTAAATAATCTTGAATTCTAGAGCAGCATAGCCAATAAGCTCAAGCCAAGCGCCAAATACATAATTTATTTCCGTAGATGATCACGTATTATTAGTATGTGTAAGAGTATTTGTGTGTTTTCATAAGAATATCTTATATGACTGAATAAGTACTAACTGCTATTCCAAGAACAAATTCTTGTTTAAAGATTTTTTGGATGCTTCTGATAGAGGTAAAAAAGATAAAAAAAAAATTATGAAGTTGAGCTGTAATGCCCATTTTTTGGGGGATTTGGCAGAAAACAAATAAAAGAATTTTTTAATATGATGGAGGAAAACATCCACTGTTAGTGGGATAGAGTTCGACATGCATCCTCCCTTCGGGCTTCAGTTTCAAAGACTTTCAAGATTCTTCTTTTTTTTTTTTTTTCATTCCTTAAAATTGGGAGAGGGTTCTGGGGTAGTCAGTACATGTCGATTTGGGTATAATTTTTCAGAGTTCGGAAATTACAGTAGGCTTTCTGCTCTGTTGATGTTTCCTGGAAGTTCCTAGTATACTGTCCGTACATTTTTTTTATTTAAAAGGCTAGTCCTTCGTAAGTGCATACCTTAAAAGAAGTTTCATAGTTTCCTATAAAATTAATGCACAGGATGATTCCAAGCATATCATTCCAGTCAAAGGAGTTATCACAAAAATGGTCATAAGTTGTTTTCACAATCATTAGGGCAGATGCATTGGATCAGCATCCGTAGGTCACTGAAGCAAGCATCTCTATAGATAGCACCTCACTACCTAAATCCTACATACCCTAAGACACAACAACAGTACAGAGAAACATACAAGCCTCTACAATACCAATTCTACAGGAAAATTTTAATAAATTAAATTTCACACTTATAATAACCAATGTCATACTTTCATGATCCAACATTAGCTTGCAACATCATATTTTGTTATCAATATATGTTATACTTTTTGTAAGTACAATATTCCAAGTTAAATGTTATCCCGAATTCATTTTTCTAGTTACTACCAAAAATAAATAGCTTTTCCCATATTTTGATGCTTTGGCATTTCACTCCACAATATTTTCCTTTCATGAGTACCCTAAAGGAAGAAATTCGTTGATACAAAGGAATACCAACGCTTGGGTTTTAAATATTCTTGGATACATATGAAAATTTTCAAAACAAGTTGAGGTGATCCATATCCAACAATCCAGCAGAAAGACCGATACCCCAATGTTAGAGCTCAGGTGATATCACTAGGCTATTGACACATCAAAATGATAACCGTTACCACTCACACATTGTATATCACTAAACTAAATATAATTCATATGTTATTATTCCTAAATTAAATAATATGAACATCAATAATACGACATTGCAATGTTATCAACATGACATTTCTGTATGAGTTGTGGCTTACACATATCAATCAATTTTTTTCTTAATTTCATTGATATGACATTGCATATATTTGTTGTTGCATTTCTTAATTTATATTTTTACTTACAGTATTAACTATTTTCCTTTGTAATTACTTAGCGATTCATAACATTTGAAATTGAATACGAAGCTAACTTTCAACAATAAATTGAATGAATCATAATACACTGATACTAAGATTATCCTATTAACAGTTTTAAATACTTGAGTAAAAACACTATTAATCAATTTAACTGCTTTAATTAATAATATTTACTAAAACTATATTACAGTAACCTTTTAATTTCAGTAACCGTACCGGTGCCAGCATTACGGTACCGTTTCCCTAAATTTTAACCTACATTCGAGAAGTTATTGTCCCAAAACTCCAAATCAATTTAAATAACAAACAAGATCCGAGATCGTGGCGCGAAAATACAGATCCAGCGATGGAGAAAAATCCGAAGTAAAAGGAAAATGAAGGGCGGATATTGAACCTGACGAGTGGAGGAAGATGAAGAAGTAGGGGGAGACTTGACGGGATCTTCGGGATCTTCGCCGCCATTTTCAGCTTGACTAAGTGGAATCGACGTTGACTCTTTCTCTTCCGCCATTTGCTCGAGAAAATCGAATCAGTAAATCTCGACTGAACGGAAAGTGAAGGAGAGTGTAAGAGAAAGAGAGAGAGAGAGAGAGAGTGAGAAGAGAGTGAAGGAGAAATTTGCGTGGCGAGGTGGGAGAGAGAGAGACTTACATGGAAACCCAAAGGCTACAATCAAGATGGTGGTTAGTTTCGGGGTATTATTGTTAATTTTCAAAATATTCGGACTTATAGGTCCATGCCAACATTTAGGTGTATTATCTTTATCCGGAAACTGTCACTGACGTACACACGTTTACTAAATTCCCATTAAAGGATATAAATTTCAAAAATATCAATTAAAAGACACTTAACAGTGTTTTACCATATATTATTTAACTGTGTATGCAAAATGACACAGGTACCCCTAAAATCTAAAAATATTAAATACAAATTTTATTTGAATAAATGAAATTTAAATTTAAAAAACAAAAAGACCTTTGAAAATATAAAAACTGGAAAAATTAGTAGAAATAAAAAAAATTATTCTTTTTATTTTATTTTAGGGGTATTTATGTTATTCTTTAATTACATAATTAAATATTCCTAAAATTTTTGTTCTCTGTTTGATAATTCAGTAAAGTTATATACCCTCATAATAATATTCCTATGTGATCTCATATTTTATTTACAAAAAGAAAATAAAATTTGAGTTTCTCCCATAAACATTAATGTATTAAAATGTTAAATTTATTTATTAACAAACATAGATGTTGCTTGTGGCATTTTTTAAAACAGTCTCAGTGGTTTTGATTGTAAATTAAGAAAACCATATGGGTAATTGTATAAAAGGATTTACGTTTATTTGGTGAAGTCTAAAATTTGAGTTTCTCCCATACACATTAATGTATTAAAATGTTATTAATTAAACTTTACACTTTTCTTGTCTGAGTTATATTAATGTCTAACCTTAATTAAGTCCACAAACTGATAAAAAAATTAATTATCTCAATACATTTTATTTACAAAAAGAAAAGAAAATCACATATATTAAAGAATTCATATGATAAATATTTGTATGTTTTTGATGATTTAAAATTACAAACGCTTGATATTATTATTTTTTTAATTCAATTTAGATCATTTTCTTCTATATAATTCTATAAGTTTTACCTTAAAGAACTGTACCAAACGAACCCTTAGAGAGCTAAAGCCTTATTTGATTGGACAACGCCAAAGCCTCGGAACTCATAAGGGATGTATTGAAAATTCAAGCAAGCATATGGTACTTTGTAGTAATTCTAATTCTAGTTAGATTTGGGGGGTGTCTTTTAGTTTCTAAAATATATGGAATTTAACTTGATTAAGTCTAAATCAAAGGGGTGTTGACAATTGTATTAGATCTAATACGGTTACATTTAGAGAGTAAGAGATTCCATTTGATAGGATAATGCCAGAAGGCAGATACTGAATATTGAAGCAACCACATGCTCCTTTTATCATTTAAAATATGGTTTATAATTGATATTCAACAATACAATATAAAATAAAAAATTAAATTAACTTGATAAATTAGCATGTCTAACCAGTGGCGGATCCAAGATTTTTATCAAGAGGGTGCCTCCGCGGCTCCGTCATTATTTGCCAAATAACTAGTGAAAACATTAAAAAATCACTAAACCTTAATTAAAAAAATAATACAATATTAAGAACCTAAGAAAAAAGAATATACAATAACACAATATTTTCTTACTTGAATAAATCTATGAGAAGCAAAATTTTGAGTAAAAGTGTTGAGTAAACCTTGAACAAAACCTTCTTTTGATATTTTTATTTTTGGCTTTCAAATATTACAATATAAATTTTCATAGTATTGATCAAATCTAGCCTAATTAAGCTAAAGTCAACGAAAACTTAAATCAAGTCAATATTACGTTGACTTTTAATATGAATTAATAAAAGAAGAGAATTTTTTTTAGTATAAACATATATAGTAACTCAAATTTCTTTAATAATTTTGAACAACTAAACGGTGACGTTTAAAATGTAGAAAAGTGGTAGGTGAAAGATGGAGAATAACGTCCTTTAAAATATAGTTAAGGTTTCAATTTGAGGAAGCATATTCATTTTTAGACAGAAAATACAAAATAAACTCACAAGATTAATATATTTTTCTCTCAAATTAGAATAAAAAACCTCAAAAAGAAAAAAAAAATGATTAAATCCTTAAATAAACTAAATTGAAATGAACAATACACATACCTAAAATCGATAAAACAGAAAACGGAGCTAATTATGACATATTAAGTAGTGAAAATTTAACAATTTTAGTCTTCAAAAATTTTAAGAGCGAATAACATGAGAAAGAAAAAGAGAGCGTAAAAAATTTGGGGATAAAATCATAAACAACAAGTAAATCTGTGAAGAAAAACACTGAAGAGAGTTTTAAATTTTTAATATGATGTAGGCTTGGAATATATATATATATATATTAATAAGTTTTTTTGGAGATCTAGATATACAGTATGTATAATAGTTCTTATTTTTAAAAGTTTTTTTGTAGACCTAGATATACAGTATGTATAATAGTTCTTATTTAAAAAAAAAATCTGAAAGTGAGTTTGGATATATATATGTTAATTAACAATTTTTTATGGCCTGTATACTAATAATTTTTTTTTAAAATATGAGGCCTACCCAATGTCAAAACATTGTTACTATTGATCTTGCTATTAAGACTGTTGGGTAAATCGTCCGATCACAATTTTGATGGTGTAGTTAAAATCTTTGCCTTCGACTTTTTACAATGCAAAACATATCGTTGGCAACCTCCCATCAATACTATTGGGTATCCTATAAGAGATTATGGAAGGGGTAGTTTAGAAAAATTAATTTGATTTAAATTTTTTTTGTTAAAACACGTGACTTATAAAAGATAAAGAATTTTGGTGGGACTTATATAAAAAATACTCTTGGAATAATTTATAGTGTTGAGAAAATGCCACAATTTTAGTGAAACCCACTCTAAAATAACATTTGAAAATGGTAATTATTCTTTAAATTTTTTTTTTTTTAAATATTATACTCTTCTCCCTAAAGCTATTTAAGTTTTGATTTTTTTTTTTTAAATACTATTCTGAATTTATAAATACTAGTCTTATAAAAGCCCAGGCCCAGGCCCAGGAACAGACCCATGATTTCTTCACTATGTACAGTCATGGTGTTAAATCGGGTATCGTATCGTGTATCGAAAACCTAATTTTTTGAATTGTGTATCGCGTATCGTATCAAATCGTAGGATACGCTTTTTTTTTTAAATTAATAAATAATCAAAATTTTAAAAAAATTAATATCATTCCCAAAATTAATTAAAGAATTTTGTGATATTATTGGCTTTAAATTATGGTATTACATAATCAAAATTAAGAATTTATATTATTTTCTCTCAACCATTCATATCATTTCCAAGATCAATGATATCTCCACTTATGTTATTATTATCATGTAAAATGGGTAACACGTATTTCTCTTCACTTTCTCCATGCAAAATGAGTAAATTTAGATAGGTTTTAGTGAATCGGGTTGGGTTACCCGGTTTCGACCTGAAATTTGTTTTGGGCATTTGGCACAAATTAATAAAGTTGTATCGATCTATATCGATATTTTTAAGGATACTTATCGTATCTTAGGATACATATCAACGTATCAAAAGATTTAGGATACACTCTCTGATATATATCGTTGGCAATCTGTATCGAATCGTATCGTATGATACGTATCAGGTATCGTAGGATACTAACAACCATGATGTACAGTCCATGTCTCAAACATTAAACATGGATCTGAGGAAGACCCGCAAGAATGTTACTCAAACCCGTATTTGTACTTAGTACACACTACTTATATTTTAAAATCTCTTTTTAAACCCCACTTAATACCAAATTTACCCCTTTAGACATAAATAGGTATTTTCTTTACCTCCATTTCCTAATGTTTTGACATTTATGGGTTTGTTTGTTTTGTTATTTTTTTATAGGATTTTGAGAATAATATTGGATAGTTGAATAGGGTGAGTATTACGAGGTAAAATTTAAAAATTAACAAAAAAAACCCCCTAGGCTTGCTAATTTAACTAAACACCCAATATATAAATTTTTTGTAAAATGACAAAAACACCCCCACCCACGCATAGTGCCAGATTTCGCCGTCAGAAAATGGCTTTACGACGTAGACCGGTCGGATCTAGCAGGTAGGGCATCTATATGGCCTTTTCCGGCCATCGACGGCCGCAAAAGTCCAGATCTGGCTGTCAGCGACGACAAAAAATATGGCCGTTGTTGTCGGTCAACGACGGTTAAGATGGCCAAGATTTGGCCGTCTTTGACCGTCAATGATGGTCATTTCTTTGGACGTCGCTGACGAGTGAATTACCGGCCAGTTCCAGTCGTTTGTAGGCTGTTGTGACAGATTTCAGCTACCACTGACGATGATTACCGAAATCTGACAACTATGGGTGGGTGGGGGTGTTTTTGTTAATTTTTAAACTTTTTCTAGGGGTATTTAATGAAATTAATAAACTTAAGGGGTCTAAAAATAATTAAAAAATATACTAATATTTCCTAAATAATTAAACAAACAAATATTTTAGGAATATGAATAGGAATATTAAACTAAACACACCCAATTATCTCCTATTTATTTTGTTTAAGTTTGTAAATATTCAAAGAAATATGACATTTATAATATAGGCAAAAAATCAAAATAAGAATACATCTTCATGAGAACACTTAAAATTGAAATTATATAAATCTAATAAGGGTATTGTTGACAACATAAAATTATTATTGATTGAGATGTTTTTGTATTAAGATAAAAGCTAAATACTTTAGCTTTTTACTTATATTACAAAAAAACCTAAAACATTTTAATCTACTAAAATTAGTTACATTCAGGCTTATGATAAAAGAACTAACAACCCCTTAGGTTTTTGTCTTTTTTATCTCCTTATTATTATTATAGTAGTAAAATCTCTCTATAGTCATAATGGTGGGGTCAAACTACTTTATTACTATAAAGATGTTATAATTTAACAGAAGTGTAGTTATAAAAATTACTGTTTTGATTTCTTATTTTATATTTCATGTTTTAGAAGTACATAATAAGATT